ACATTATGGATACCTGCAATCTGTGGAGGTAATGCAACTCTATATGCAGTAGATCCAATTCGCTCCAAGATCTCATACGGGCCCATAAATCTAGGTGTCAATTTCTTTGCCTTAATGGATCTACCAATGCCTGTCACTGGAGAAACCTTCAAAAATACATGATCTCCTACTTCAAACTCTAACGGCCGTCTCCTCTTATCAGCATAGCTCTTCTGTCGGCTCTGAGCGGTTAGCAATTTTTGCTTAATCATTGCAATCTTCTGGGTGGTTTGCTCTACAATTTCTGGACCAATGATACTCCTCTCACTTAATTCTGTCCAACATAAAGGCGATCTACACTTCCTTCCATACAAGGCCTCATAAGGCGCCATCCCAATACTAGAATGATAGCTGTTATTATAAGCAAATTCAGCTAATGGCAAATGATTATCCCAACTACTGGTAGTTCAATGGCACAAGCTCTCAACATGTCCTCCAAAGTCTGGATCGTCCTCTCTGTTTGTCCATCTGTTTGGGGGTGGTATGCGGTGCTAAAACTCAGTCTGGTACCCATAGCCTTCTGTAGCGCACCCCAAAAGTTTGAAGTGAACCTTGGGTCACGATCTGACACAATTCTAGAGGGTATACCATGAAGTCTAACTATCTCCTTAATGTATATCTCAGCAAATTTCTCTAATGTAGAGGTAAACTTGATCGCCAAAAAGTGAGCTGATTTGGTGAGTCGGTCTACTATCACCCAAATAGCATCCTTACTCGAGGGTGTTCTTGGCAGTCCAGTGATGAAATCCATAGAAATATCATCCCATTTCCACTTTGGAATATCTAACGGTTGCAGTGTTCCAGCTGGCTTCTGATGTTCTATCTTTATCTTCTGACACGTTAAACATCTAGAAACAAATTCAGTTACATCTTTCTTCATTCCTGGCCACCACCAACCTCGCTTCAAATCATGGTACATTTTAGTTATACCGGGATGAATTGTATATTTGCTCCTATGAGCTTCTTCTAAAAGGATATTCCTCAATCTTGGATCATTAGGTACACAAACTCTACCTTTATACTTCATCACTGTGTCCTCAGAGATGGTAAAATTTGGGGCCTTACCTACCACTATCTCCTTCCTTATATTCCTTAAGTAGTCATCACTTTGCTGTGAGACTCTGAGATCTTCCCAGAATTTGCTCTCAAAGTCTGCTACCTGGAGTGCGGCCATTTGATGTTCAATCACATCTACTGGAACATCATGAAAACTGTTCCATAAATGATATTCATGAACCATCAAATGTGCAGCATGAATAGTCTTTCTACTTAAGGCATCAGCTACCACGTTAGCCTTACCCGGATGGTAATGTAATTCAAAGTCATAATCCTTTAGAAATTCCATCCATCGTCGCTGCCTCATATTAAGCTCTTTTTGATCAAATAAATACTTCAGGCTCTTATGGTCACTGAAGATTTGAAACTTAGATCCATACAAGTAGTGTCTCCATATCTTTAGAGCAAACACAACTGCAGCTAACTCCAAATCATGAGTAGGGTAATTTTCCTCGTGTGGTCTCAACTGTCTGGAGGAATAGGCAACCACTCGGTCATTTTGCATCAAAACACATCCTAAACCCTTTAAAGAAGCATCAGTGTACAGAGTGTACGGCACCACAGGGTCAGGAATAGTCAATACTGGAGTAGTGGTTAACCTCTTTTTCAATTCTTGGAAAGCAGCTTCACATTTGTCAGTCCAAATAAATGGGGCATCCTTCTTAGTTAGCTTAGTTAAGGGCATCGCAATTTGCGAAAATCCCTTAATAAAGCGACGATAATAACCTGCTAGACCTAAAAAGCTTCGTATCTCTGTAACAGATTTTGGCTGTTCCCACTTCATCACTGCATCAATCTTGCTAGGATCCACCGCAACTCCATCTCTGGACACAACATGGCCCAAAAACTTTACTTCTTGGAGCCAAAATTCACACTTGCTTAATTTGGCATAAAGCTTATGTTCCCTCAAAACTTGCAAGACGATTCTTAAATGTTCACCATGAGCCTCCTCATCCTTTGAATAAATAAGAATGTCATCAATAAACACTACTACAAACTTATCTAAATAGGGTCGAAAGATCCTATTCATGTAATCCATGAATACCGCAGGAGCATTCGTAAGTCCAAACGGCATCACCATGAATTCATAATGCCCATATCTCGTCCGAAATGCTGTCTTAGGTATATCCTCTGCTCTCACTCTCAATTGGTGGTACCCTGACCTTAAGTCAATCTTTGAGAAAACTGCGGATCCCACAAGCTGATCCAGCAAATCATCGATTCTCGGAAGTGGATATTTGTTCTTGATGGTTACTTTGTTCAATTGTCTATAATCAATGCACAATCGGAGGCTTCCGTCCTTCTTCTTTACAAAAAGGACTGGAGATCCCCAAGGTGAAACACTCGGTCTGATGAAACCCTTCTCAAGTAGCTCTTTGATTTGCTTTTTCAGTTCCGCTAACTCTGAAGGGGACATCCGATAAGGAGCCTTAGAAATTGGCCCTGTACCGGGTACCAATTCAATTGAGAACTCTACCTCGCGCTTTGGGGGTAAACCGGAGACTTCGTCTGGAAATACATCCGCAAATTCTTTGACAATTGGGATATTCTTCACGCCTTCATCAATCTCAGCTTGGATAGAGAAGAAAACCATGTAGGCCTGGCAACCCTTCTTCATACATCTATCAACTTGCGCCGCCGACAAGAAAACATGATCTTGAGTCTCGACTGGGGTCACCGACAAAGAAGATAAAGACACACTCCTCTCTCTACAATCTAGGATAGCACCATTTGCAGCCATCCAATTCATTCCCACAATTACATCCATACCTCTCAGTGGTAGGATAATTAAGTCCATAGTTGTTTTCCTATTTTTAAACTCGACTACTAGGTTAAGGCATGCCTTAGCGGTCCTCACAGATTCTCCCGCAGGAGTAGACACATTCATATCAAACGGTAAAATACACACAGGCAAATCAAGGTTCTTTACACAAGTTTCAGAAATAAAAGAGTGTGTAGCACCCGAATCAAATAGTGCAACAATATCATGATGAAGGATTTTGATGTTACCTCTAATGGCATCTGGGGAGTTCATGGTGTCCTGAGTAAGAGCAAACACACGACCAGAGACAGTAGGATGTTGGGAAGGGTTCTTCATATTTGAGCCCTGGTTGTCCCCACAAAACTTTGCAATGTGACCGGGTTTCCCACAAATGTAACAGATCCAGCACTGTCCGAAATGACGACGCCCGCATTTAGTGCACTGTTGAGAGCTCGCTGTACTCGGGGCAGGGGTAGATACTGTTGGGCTCCTCTGTGACCCGTAATAACTACTATGATAGCTCCTCTGTCCTTGGCCCCTTTGAAATGGACCCTTCTGCCTTCCTTGGTTCCATGAGCTACTCGAACCCTGATGGTTTTTCTTCATAATGCCTCCGGTGGGTCGAGGGTAGGTTGGGGGTCTACTATATGAATAACCCCTCTTCTCTCTCTCAACCTCCTTCTTACTGCGAGCTACTACTTGTAGTTTTATGCACATTTCATCATAATCTCGGATATCTAGATGAGCCAATTGTTCCCTCAATTCTGGTCTAGCCTTCTCCAATAAGCGCTTAGCCTTCCATTCGGAATCATCCCTATACTGCAGGTACGTGGAGTATCTAGATAACTCCTGAAACTTAGCAATGAATGTGTCCTCATCGAGGTTCCCTTGCTTAAAGGCATGGAATTCCGCTTCCTTCTCAGACCTTAACTCTGATGGAAAGTAATGCCTGAATAATTTTTCCTTGAATTCCTCCCAGGTGAGTGTAGAATCATCCCTGGGCCCTGCTGTCTCCCACCAATCTCTTGCTCCTTTCACTAGGAGCACTAATGCTACTTGTACTTTTTGATTGCTGGTGCATGTGACTACTCGAAAGATGGATTCGAGTCTCTTCACCCATTCCTCTACCACGGATGGTTTAAGGTTACCATCAAACGTAGGAGGGTTAAACTTCCTAACAGTTTCCCACACATCAGTAATGGTCGGTGGGGCTCTCTGTTCCTCCTGCCTAATTTCTTTCCTTCTAGACTCATGATCTCTCAGAGTGGCAGGATGTGAGGAACTGCCTTCCCCCACATGACTCTCAACATGAGCCCTATCTCCATTTTCAGTTACCTTTTGCCTCTTTAGCTCCGTCAACTCTTGTTCGTATCCTTGAACCTTGTCTGTTAATGTTTTTACAAGCATTCTTAATTCCGCCAAGTCAGGCTCCTCATTTGGCAGTGGCGGTGGCAGGTGCTCATGTTGGAATCCTGAGTTACCACGAGTAACAGGCATTTTCTCTCCCCTCCTAAAGGATACAAGATATAAATAATAAAATTAGCCTAGCTATATCATGGCCATACAATGAGAAGCACCATAACAATGTATATTGCCAACCGACTATATGCTCTGATACCAATATGTAACACCATCAAATTTACAAACCGATTTTTCGCAAATTATTAATTCAAGAAATTATTTTTTTTTCATTGAACCCTTATCATACCCTTATCATGGTAGAAAAATTTCTACCATGATACATCCAAGACAATATACCACAGGTCTTAAAATATCTCAAAAAGCAATTAGAACCATGAGGGACAGACATGATCCTCATAGCATATGTAATACCCTCAAATTTACAAACCGATTTTTCGCAAGTTATTAATTCAAGAAATCATTTTTTTTTATTGAACCCTTATCATACCCTTATCATGGTAGAAAAATTTCTACCATGATACATCCAAGACAATATACCACAGGTCTTAAAATATCTCAAAAAAGCAATTAGAACCATGAGGGACAGACATGATCCTCATAGCATGTTATTTAAATTAGGTCATGAATCAAAAGGGACAGACATAATCCTCTTGGACATATAAATGCATTTAATAAAAAGGATTAGAGTTTACATGCTCCATAGACAAGATATGTCCTAAGTTGGCACAAGATACATTGTATAATCCAAAATAAGAGGCAACGTAAAAGATGGTGTCTCATACACCATAATTACACCTCTGGTGCTTTCTCGGCCGGATTCGCTCCTGTAAAAATATTAACCACGGGGAATGAGACTTAAAAGTCTCCAGTAACCAAAAATTAATATGTAATGATGCATGCGGATGTAACTAATCATGCGATTGCTAAGTGGGCACACAAAACATTTAACCGAACAATATTTTCAAACAAACCGAACAAGTATTTAATTGCATGACTGCACCTTATATCCTCCTTTCACCATGCTCGGACGCCAAATCACCCGGCCAAAGGTGAGTTGGACCAAGCGACACGCCACTCATTGGGTCCAATGAGGGCTTACCACGTGGTAATAATTAACCGAACAGAAATTCCCATTAACACCATACATTAAAATACCCTGACAAGTCATGCATCATTCAAATATCCAAACAGGAATATATCCGAACAATAATATCTCATCATGATAAACAAAAATAAATTTTTAACCCACTTGGCAATAATTTCAAACAAGTATATACAGTATTTATTTTCAATAATTCATAATTTTTCCAAACAACAAAACAACACATAACCATTCACAAACACACTCATCACAACACATTAATAATGGTTACCTTGTGTCTTGAATAACAAGTTCCCCTTCACAACTCCTTTTTCACCACTATCTTTGTCAATATAATCTACATAATTATTTCACAATACTATATATTAATTTTACATTAAAATAAATAACTCTAATTTAAAGAGTTAGAAAGTCTTAAATCTATAGTCCATATTAACACTAATTTAAGATTTATGCCTTATTTAACTTCCCAAATTCTTTTCTAAAATTCTCGTACCCTAATGAACTATTTTTTTTATCCTCAATTCACTTCTAGTATCACAATTTCATCCTTCTACATTCTAAAAATTCATCCAAAAATAAATTAAAAATTTTAGAATTATCCTGAAGCCTCAAATCACCTTTCTATAACCTCAAAAATACCTATTCATACTTAAATAAATATTTAATAATCATAGATTTATCCCTACATCTCAGATTCCACATAAATTCAACCATATAGATCTAGATTTTAACTCAAAAATTCTTAAACATGAGTTTCAACCTTAAAAAATATTCTATAATATTTACTATATCCCTAAGAATTTTAACCTATATTTTTAATCCATCATATCATCAGATTAACTATCCTATAGAAAAATCCTAATCAAAATATTTACTCTATCCTACAAAATAATCATATCACTAGAAAGCTAATATTATTTAGAAAATAACTATAAAATTAATTTTGTAATTAAATAAATTTTTAAATGCTAATCTAAACAGGAAAGTTAGAACATACCTGAAGAAAAAAGAAAATAATCCCCCCTTGCGAGAAAACGCCGAGCAACGTGAGAGGAAGAGAGAAAAATAATATAAAAATGGGATTGTGAGTCCCAAAATTATATTAAAAAAAAACTATAGGTTTGAATTTAATTATTCAAACCTTTGGGCCCAAAGTTGCAATTTTCTCTAAATTGCATCTTAGCCTCTCATGCTTCCTAATGCACACACCCCCTCCTTTTTATACATGAAGGCACCTCTTCTCTTCCCTCATCTAACCAATGTGGGACTTAGAAACAACAACCTTCCACCCCCCCTTTTTTTTGTTCCTTCTACCTTCTCTTTTTTTTTTAACACACACATAAAAAAATTATTTATGTATTATATCTTAACTAAATATTGCTTATGTGGTTTTAAATTTAAATTTTTAAATTCATAATTAAATACCTAATCATAATATTATTTCTAAATAACCTCAAATAATATAAATTCCTATTATTATCATTTTTTTTCTCAAAACCTAAATTCCACAATTTCTTTATTATATAAAAATCAGGATGTTACAATTCTCCCCTCCTTTTAGAAATTTTGTCCTCAAAATTTAATAGATAAGCTTAGAAACTATGTACCTAAGCAAATAAATGTGGATAATCTCGCCTCATACTCTCCTCGGTCTCCCAAGTAGCATCACCTAGGGCTCCACCCTTCCAAATCACCTTCACGAGTCGGATGGTCTTATTGCGTAGTTGTTTGTCCTTAAAGTCCTCAATTCGCTCCGGTTCGGATCTAAAGGTCAAATTCTCCCTCAATTCTACTTCTTCAGGTTCAATAACATGGGAGGGATCCGGGTTGTACTTCTTCAACTGTGATACGTGGAACACATTATGGATACCTGCAATCTGTGGAGGTAATGCAACTCTATATGCAGTAGATCCAATTCGCTCCAAGATCTCATACGGGCCCATAAATCTAGGTGTCAATTTCTTTGCCTTAATGGATCTACCAATGCCTGTCACTGGAGAAACCTTCAAAAATACATGATCTCCTACTTCAAACTCTAACGGCCGTCTCCTCTTATCAGCATAGCTCTTCTGTCGGCTCTGAGCGGTTAGCAATTTTTGCTTAATCATTGCAATCTTCTGGGTGGTTTGCTCTACAATTTCTGGACCAATGATACTCCTCTCACTTAATTCTGTCCAACATAAAGGCGATCTACACTTCCTTCCATACAAGGCCTCATAAGGCGCCATCCCAATACTAGAATGATAGCTGTTATTATAAGCAAATTCAGCTAATGGCAAATGATTATCCCAACTACCTGGTAGTTCAATGGCACAAGCTCTCAACATGTCCTCCAAAGTCTGGATCGTCCTCTCTGTTTGTCCATCTGTTTGGGGGTGGTATGCGGTGCTAAAACTCAGTCTGGTACCCATAGCCTTCTGTAGCGCACCCCAAAAGTTTGAAGTGAACCTTGGGTCACGATCTGACACAATTCTAGAGGGTATACCATGAAGTCTAACTATCTCCTTAATGTATATCTCAGCAAATTTCTCTAATGTAGAGGTAAACTTGATCGCCAAAAAGTGAGCTGATTTGGTGAGTCGGTCTACTATCACCCAAATAGCATCCTTACTCGAGGGTGTTCTTGGCAGTCCAGTGATGAAATCCATAGAAATATCATCCCATTTCCACTTTGGAATATCTAACGGTTGCAGTGTTCCAGCTGGCTTCTGATGTTCTATCTTTATCTTCTGACACGTTAAACATCTAGAAACAAATTCAGTTACATCTTTCTTCATTCCTGGCCACCACCAACCTCGCTTCAAATCATGGTACATTTTAGTTATACCGGGATGAATTGTATATTTGCTCCTATGAGCTTCTTCTAAAAGGATATTCCTCAATCTTGGATCATTAGGTACACAAACTCTACCTTTATACTTCATCACTGTGTCCTCAGAGATGGTAAAATTTGGGGCCTTACCTACCACTATCTCCTTCCTTATATTCCTTAAGTAGTCATCACTTGCTGTGAGACTCTGAGATCTTCCCAGAATTTGCTCTCAAAGTCTGCTACCTGGAGTGCGGCCATTTGATGTTCAATCACATCTACTGGAACATCATGAAAACTGTTCCATAAATGATATTCATGAACCATCAAATGTGCAGCATGAATAGTCTTTCTACTTAAGGCATCAGCTACCACGTTAGCCTTACCCGGATGGTAATGTAATTCAAAGTCATAATCCTTTAGAAATTCCATCCATCGTCGCTGCCTCATATTAAGCTCTTTTTGATCAAATAAATACTTCAGGCTCTTATGGTCACTGAAGATTTGAAACTTAGATCCATACAAGTAGTGTCTCCATATCTTTAGAGCAAACACAACTGCAGCTAACTCCAAATCATGAGTAGGGTAATTTTCCTCGTGTGGTCTCAACTGTCTGGAGGAATAGGCAACCACTCGGTCATTTTGCATCAAAACACATCCTAAACCCTTTAAAGAAGCATCAGTGTACAGAGTGTACGGCACCACAGGGTCAGGAATAGTCAATACTGGAGTAGTGGTTAACCTCTTTTTCAATTCTTGGAAAGCAGCTTCACATTTGTCAGTCCAAATAAATGGGGCATCCTTCTTAGTTAGCTTAGTTAAGGGCATCGCAATTTGCGAAAATCCCTTAATAAAGCGACGATAATAACCTGCTAGACCTAAAAAGCTTCGTATCTCTGTAACAGATTTTGGCTGTTCCCACTTCATCACTGCATCAATCTTGCTAGGATCCACCGCAACTCCATCTCTGGACACAACATGGCCCAAAAACTTTACTTCTTGGAGCCAAAATTCACACTTGCTTAATTTGGCATAAAGCTTATGTTCCCTCAAAACTTGCAAGACGATTCTTAAATGTTCACCATGAGCCTCCTCATCCTTTGAATAAATAAGAATGTCATCAATAAACACTACTACAAACTTATCTAAATAGGGTCGAAAGATCCTATTCATGTAATCCATGAATACCGCAGGAGCATTCGTAAGTCCAAACGGCATCACCATGAATTCATAATGCCCATATCTCGTCCGAAATGCTGTCTTAGGTATATCCTCTGCTCTCACTCTCAATTGGTGGTACCCTGACCTTAAGTCAATCTTTGAGAAAACTGCGGATCCCACAAGCTGATCCAGCAAATCATCGATTCTCGGAAGTGGATATTTGTTCTTGATGGTTACTTTGTTCAATTGTCTATAATCAATGCACAATCGGAGGCTTCCGTCCTTCTTCTTTACAAAAAGGACTGGAGATCCCCAAGGTGAAACACTCGGTCTGATGAAACCCTTCTCAAGTAGCTCTTCGATTTGCTTTTTCAGTTCCGCTAACTCTGAAGGGGACATCCGATAAGGAGCCTTAGAAATTGGCCCTGTACCGGGTACCAATTCAATTGAGAACTCTACCTCGCGCTTTGGGGGTAAACCGGAGACTTCGTCTGGAAATACATCCGCAAATTCTTTGACAATTGGGATATTCTTCACGCCTTCATCAATCTCAGCTTGGATAGAGAAGAAAACCATGTAGGCCTGGCAACCCTTCTTCATACATCTATCAACTTGCGCCGCCGACAAGAAAACATGATCTTGAGTCTCGACTGGGGTCACCGACAAAGAAGATAAAGACACACTCCTCTCTCTACAATCTAGGATAGCACCATTTGCAGCCATCCAATTCATTCCCACAATTACATCCATACCTCTCAGTGGTAGGATAATTAAGTCCATAGTTGTTTTCCTATTTTTAAACTCGACTACTAGGTTAAGGCATGCCTTAGCGGTCCTCACAGATTCTCCCGCAGGAGTAGACACATTCATATCAAACGGTAAAATACACACAGGCAAATCAAGGTTCTTTACACAAGTTTCAGAAATAAAAGAGTGTGTAGCACCCGAATCAAATAGTGCAACAATATCATGATGAAGGATTTTGATGTTACCTCTAATGGCATCTGGGGAGTTCATGGTGTCCTGAGTAAGAGCAAACACACGACCAGAGACAGTAGGATGTTGGGAAGGGTTCTTCATATTTGAGCCCTGGTTGTCCCCACAAAACTTTGCAATGTGACCGGGTTTCCCACAAATGTAACAGATCCAGCACTGTCCGAAATGACGACGCCCGCATTTAGTGCACTGTTGAGAGCTCGCTGTACTCGGGGCAGGGGTAGATACTGTTGGGCTCCTCTGTGACCCGTAATAACTACTATGATAGCTCCTCTGTCCTTGGCCCCTTTGAAATGGACCCTTCTGCCTTCCTTGGTTCCATGAGCTACTCGAACCCTGATGGTTTTTCTTCATAATGCCTCCGGTGGGTCGAGGGTAGGTTGGGGGTCTACTATATGAATAACCCCTCTTCTCTCTCTCAACCTCCTTCTTACTGCGAGCTACTACTTGTAGTTTTATGCACATTTCATCATAATCTCGGATATCTAGATGAGCCAATTGTTCCCTCAATTCTGGTCTAGCCTTCTCCAATAAGCGCTTAGCCTTCCATTCGGAATCATCCCTATACTGCAGGTACGTGGAGTATCTAGATAACTCCTGAAACTTAGCAATGAATGTGTCCTCATCGAGGTTCCCTTGCTTAAAGGCATGGAATTCCGCTTCCTTCTCAGACCTTAACTCTGATGGAAAGTAATGCCTGAATAATTTTTCCTTGAATTCCTCCCAGGTGAGTGTAGAATCATCCCTGGGCCCTGCTGTCTCCCACCAATCTCTTGCTCCTTTCACTAGGAGCACTAATGCTACTTGTACTTTTTGATTGCTGGTGCATGTGACTACTCGAAAGATGGATTCGAGTCTCTTCACCCATTCCTCTACCACGGATGGTTTAAGGTTACCATCAAACGTAGGAGGGTTAAACTTCCTAACAGTTTCCCACACATCAGTAATGGTCGGTGGGGCTCTCTGTTCCTCCTGCCTAATTTCTTTCCTTCTAGACTCATGATCTCTCAGAGTGGCAGGATGTGAGGAACTGCCTTCCCCCACATGACTCTCAACATGAGCCCTATCTCCATTTTCAGTTACCTTTTGCCTCTTTAGCTCCGTCAACTCTTGTTCGTATCCTTGAACCTTGTCTGTTAATGTTTTTACAAGCATTCTTAATTCCGCCAAGTCAGGCTCCTCATTTGGCAGTGGCGGTGGCAGGTGCTCATGTTGGAATCCTGAGTTACCACGAGTAACAGGCATTTTCTCTCCCCTCCTAAAGGATACAAGATATAAATAATAAAATTAGCCTAGCTATATCATGGCCATACAAAGAGAAGCACCATAACAATGTATATTGCCAACCGACTA